TAGAAGTAAACGTACCTATAATTCTTATAGAGGTAGAAGGTACCACGAATCAAGAAAAACAACAGTCCTCAAAACAAAAGTAAATTTACAAATAGTCGGTAGTACCTACGTGAATTATTCTATCGAAATGCTGAACTTAAAGACCGATTTACACTTCGACAAGTACAGTAGCGAGTTTAGTTACAAGGCAGTTGACAGTGAACGGTTAAGTGGGCAGTAGCGTTCAACCAATGTCTTCATGGCGAGTTTAGTTAAGGACATTAGTTCATACAGTTTGTTAGAGTATGACGTTTCAAGACTACAGAATTTTAATGGTTTTCGTTTAAGATGGTTCTAGGATTACGTCAAGACTTAAATGATCCAGTCAGAGAAGTATTAACGGTTGTTGTTAAAGAAGTTTTTTATAATTTTCATGAGTGTAGCATCTCGAGCAGGTTTAATTTTACAATTTGAACTTCTACTATTATATAAACATTCGTATTCTAGATACTCCTGTACAAATTTATACGTGATATCTTCCGTCCATTTTAATTAAAACTCAATATAAAACGTATAAATATTCAATAATCAGTATCGTACAAACTTTGTGGCGAGTTTATTTATAAAAGTACAATTGTACGTTTTGGCGCGCAAACGTTGCGGCCTGTCAACTTATGCACTGAACTAAACTCGCTCGTTTACACGAACGGCGAGTTTAGTTGCGGGTGGCGGGAGACGCGCGGGAGGACAGCACTTCGCACTTAACTCGCCGAAAAATAGCTCGGCCGGCTATCCCGTTCAACTTAATCGTTAACTTGCTACTTAACTCGCTTATTGCCGTTCAAACGAGGTTCAAACTTAACTCGCCAGGTTCGCAAGTTATGAAGTTAGTTAGTTATGAAGATAATACTTTTTTTCTCGATTACTAATTTTGACTTATAAACGTAGTTTACAAATGTTTTTAAGTACAATTTGTAAATAAGTATATACATGTCGTGCCAAAATTTTTAAACTATTATAACGTTATCGAAATGTACCTAATTGGAATAGAAGCTCACTTAAGCACTTTATTTACTTACTTATTATTTTTTCGTTATCATAAATATAATATTGCGTTAGCAAAAGTTGTTGCCTACTTACTTAATAAAATCAAGTAAAATTGATGATTTTTATATTTTTAATAGGTTATTCCTTTTATCCACCCTGTGATGGATACTTTACTACACTAATAATAAAGAATATATTTAACTTATTTTACCATAGAGTGGATAAACAGAATAACCCTTTTTAATAAATAAGTTGTTTTATCTTCCAGTTTTAGTTACAAGGTGACAGCCCTAAAAGATTTCCCACTTACCTACTTAATAAAAAAAAATAAAAGTTTAACATTTTATGATATGGATATGTAGGAATAATAAACAATATTTTATGTGAGCGGAATCTGTTTATTTGGAAATGCATTTTTAACTGCGTTATTTTTGCCTATGCAAAGTAGGAGTAATGCGATTTATTTCGCCTGCCTATTTCGAAGAATGGAATTTGATACGTAGTAGAGCTATGTCGCAGTTATATTAGTAGTATAGTTGTAGCACGAATCGGTCGGCTCGACCGGGGAAGGACCACGCTCTCACAGAATACCAACTCAAATAGTAGCTTAATGCTGCTGTGTTTCGTATGGTGAGTGTAGAGAACCGGAGACCTTTCGTACCGGAAACGAGGCATTCCATCTTAGTTCTCACGGGTGACAACGCATCTGCATTTTGATTCGTAATCGAGGATATATGTAGTACTCTATGGGCCACAGCAACCACTTACCATCAGGTGGACTGTGTGCTCGTTTGTCGCACCCTATCCTATATAAAAAAAATTATACTTCTTTTTAAGAACACTGGTATTTACATCCCGAGACGTCGATGCGCGAGCCCAGGCCTAGTAACACTCCTGCTTATGATGTAATGCAATTTTGCAGGAGCGACCAAATCAAGGCTGGGTTCTGCTTCCGATAAGTACCTCAGATGATTGAATAAATATTTCCATTCCCTGAAGCACCGCATCAGCGACAGAATCAGCAACAACGCTGGGGTCATCCGGCGAGAAGCAAACCCGCCTCCAAAAAAATATCGCATCCCGTCCCAATCGGCTAACCTATAATGCCAAACATGGCGGCAACCTGCAGTACGCAAACACGATGGGAGCCTGAGTACACCAGAGCCACCATAATCCAGATCAGATAATGGTCTGAGGAGCCAAGAGGGGCATCAACGGAGACCTGATATCCGTCCGGATGAGAGATCAACAGAAGGTCCAACAGGGAAGGTAACATAGGAAGGAAACATAATCTTTACCATCTGGGATCCCGGAGAGGACACCTGTGTCTTGGTTAGAAAGAGCAGGTTCCGGATGATAGTGGACGGCGTTAAGGTTTGAATGAAGTCCCCTGATGTCGCAGAAATTAACGGATAGCGTGGCGCCTTTGACGTATTGCTCCGCTTGCCCCGAGCAGGCTTAGTCTCGAGCGGAATTTCGCGAATAGTGGTGGTGGAAGTAGTGGTGCCGGGAGTAGTGCTGTTGGGAAGTAGTGGTGCTGGGACTGGTGGTGACAGAGTTAGTGCATGCAATTGAGGGAGGGCGGGTGGTGCTCTTCAATCCAGGTAAGACACATCATTTTATTTAGTTAGCGGAAGGTTGCAAAATAATTAATATTTTTATTCAATCTATTTTTCAATCTATCATGTGGGAAGCCATGGAATATAAATGGCTGTGACATTGTGTAAAAAAAAACCTTATTAATAAATTAAATTAAATGCGCTTAAATAACAAAACGTTGCTGAACACAACCTATGATATTAACTGGCAGGACCATCTGCCGGGTCATCTAGTTGAATCATAAAATTAAGAATATTTTATGGATTTCCAAGTCGATCTATTCAAGAAATATTCCTTAAAGCAGAAAGGTGTTAGAAATCATTGTGTATAGTTGAAATGTAGTTAAGTCAACATTGAACCTTTTCAACCGACTTTAAAAAAGAGTGGTTCTCTATTCAAGCGTATTTTTTATGAGTGTTACCTCAGAACTTTTTGTCCGATGACCGATTCTTTTTTTATTTGAAATTTGGTGCTTTTCATGTGGTTCTGAATATCTGACCAGTAGTTTTTGAGTTATTCTTAATAGTGCGCATTTAATTGACTTCGACTATATTGATGATGCTCTAATTTTATTTATATTAAAGTCGGTTTTACAAAATTTTTAATTTTACCTCTTCTGTGCCGATTATGAGGAATAGAAGCAAGAATTAAAATTAGTGCTATTAATGCCTGGTTAGACAAAAATATCGTGTAGTATTAATACAATATAATACAGTACTCTTTATTGTACACCTATAAAAATAAATATAACAAAAAATGAACCAATAATGAGGGAAGAACAAAAGGCGGTCTTATTGCTACACAGCAATCTCTTCCAAACAACCCTAAAGAAGAAATTAATAAAAATAAGAAAAAGATTAACGGGTAGGGTGCACTTAATTAGAAAAAAAATTAAAAAATACTAACTTATCTACTACAATGACAACATACTTTAGGTATATCAATGACCATAAATAAGAGGAGGAAGAGAGAGGAAATAAAGAGACTAATAGTGTTACTTAATCTGTTTCTTGAACATATGATTGTGTATTTAACGATTGGGCACTATCAATTTACTGGGGTAAGGAGTTCCAAAGTTTTACTTCAAGAACAGCAAAAGATTTATCATAAAATGTTGAGGAGTGTACAGGACATTGGAGGGAAAGATTTTCTTTGAATCGTAAAGAAAAATCGTGACAAGAACTAAGAAATTTAAAACGTTCTTTTAGATAGGGAGGAATTGTATACTAAATAAGACGCAGTAGAGCGCAGAAAGTATTTGAGTGTTCCGACGAAGAAGTATTGGGAGCCACTTGAGCTTAGTGCGGTATTACGAATTACGAGACATGGTCATATTAACGAAGGCCAAATATGAACCGTATACAGAGATTTTGAAGTCGCTCTAGTTTGTTAAGTTGCTCCTCGGTGATATCAAGGTCACAATGCCAGCATAGTCGAGGATAGGATAGGGTAGGGATGAGTAAAAACTACTTCAATGAAGCATAATCTACAAACATTTTTCGGCTTACAGCATTAATTTGGGGAGTCCACGAAAAACTGGAATCCAAAAGGGTACCTACATTTTTAACGAAACGTGGAACGCCAGCTACGGCATGAAGCCACGATGTAAGTCTATCTTGGACACGAATACGTTGTCGGCGCTCATACAAATAAATAACTATGAAACCAGGAAATTGCAGTTGGAGATATGTTAAGAGAACGCAAAATCCCTTACAGGATATCATGATCAACAGTATAAACCTGTTAAATTGGATTCGAGAATTGATATTTCATGAAGTAGTATACGCTCGGAAGAAAATATGCATTTATATGACATACTCAATTGAATTCTTAATCGAATGGATTTTTAAAATACGTTACATTAATCGAGATATTAACTTATAATTTAATCACCGGGAAAATATTTAACATTCGAGTTCTCGTTTTTTAAGCGATAAACATTAAATATTTTCCGATAATATATATAAAAGGCATGTTATTGAATTAGATCCTTAAACAGCTACCTTTTTATTTAGATCTTTTATTTCCTGATAATAAGCAAAGAGATGGATGCAGGTGGCTCAGGACCACGCCTTATGGCATTCTTTAGAGCAGGCCTTTGTTCAGCAGTAAAGTTGTGAAAGGCTGTAAAGATGATGAGGATGATTAAGCAAAAGCGTTTCAAATAAAGTAACTTTTTGTCCACCGAAAGTCGCATGCTAACTTTATCCCAGACAAATATGCATGCAACGGAGAAGGGAGCGCGAGTCTTGTATACCTTACGAAAATCCACTTTAATGCAATGAATAATAATAAGTTATTTAGTTGTTAAGTTATCTTATATTGTTTTCAAAGTTATTGGCCATGAGGTCTATTGTGTTAGATTGACTTTAACAATGAGGCTGAAGTCTAAAACTCTTTTCCAGCTGTGCAGGGAGCTATTTTCGAAGTTCTCAAAGTTACATAGATCGACGTCTACTAGAATATAAAATGAGCACAAAAATCCAAGAAATATCAGTAAGTTGAAGTTTAACATAAACAAACAGATCGTCATGATCGTAGAATAATGACGGTTCTAAAAAAAAACAAGAAATTCACTTTTTACCATATTTGGATGCTACATTGCCTAAATATTATTACTGCATTAAAGAAAAAAATATATGTATTTCGGATTTCAAAATAATCAGTCGGTAAATAGACGGATTTGATAGGCACTCATAGTAAAATGACGTTTGTATATACTCGTCATTGTACGACGCGCGGGGGATCTCCCGCCGTCCTCTCCCACTCCCGACGAATCCGCGCAATCGTCACTTTTCGTAGAACTCGCCCACGCGTTGCAGCGGATTAGATTTTTCTTAAAAAATTGCACTAGTTTTACTTTATTTGCCTCTTTGTTAGCTATTGCGTGCCTATTTTTTTTACATATTATATTAAAAGGTATGCCATAATGAAAACAGTCGATCAAAGCTTATGTTAAAACTTGTTGAAGAAACAAGCAAAAATGCAAAAAGTACGGGTTTCACTCATGAAGAGCGCATGGATGAGGAGGACTGCATACTAGGGACTCCAGGTAAGTTAATGAATTATGTATTAATATTATAGTATTACTTAATTCTTGTATTTATACATATTTTGCAAAGTAAATAAGTAAAGCGTCGATTCTGACTATCCGTCGATTTTCTACGAAAAATATAAATCAATATAAAATGTAATTTTTATAAAAATAATATTTGCTCGCTGATATTACTACAATTATTATGTTGAGTTTGTGTTATATTTGAGAATTTGAATTTTCAAGTTGTATGTTACTATATTACATTTTTCTTTGGACATGATAGTGACGCGTGGTTACAAACGGCGGTATTTTGTGGACACGCTTTTTTGTCTAACGGTCGCATCTGATCATCCCACTTTTTTCTTTGAACTAAATTCACTTCCGCCATTTTTCTATTGAAAAACTATGCTTATTTTTATATATTTAATATATTTTTCTTTAATAAATAATGAGATTTGAGTAATAATTTACCTGTATAAATAAAAAGAAGTACTTTTTTATGCTTTCGAATCTTTTCATTATGAATAGTCTTACCGTTTTTAGTAAATGCTGACCTGTGATATTAATAATCTATTTATTTTTACATATACTGATATCGTTTCAGAATTCCATTCGATATTTATGAGGATGTATTTACAGATGACGTACACGGAACAAGCGAAACCATAAAATCAACAAATGAAAATATGAACCTGAACATACCATCACCTACTTGTGTTCTTGAAGAAGATCCTTTTATGGCCGTGCATGAAAATACATCCTCACCATATTTACTCACGTCAGAAAATCAGCATGGTGTCGTGTCCATCTTAAATATCACCTCAGCTCTAACCCCTTTAAATACTTCTACCCTGATATCAGACCTGTCACCTTTCCCGCAACCGATCACCCCAATTATTGACAACAATGGACAAACACCTATGTTATCACCAGCAAAAACTCATGGTGAGGTATGTAACGACTTTTTTTGTTCCACTCACGATGGTGCAGACATAGCAATAACTGTCAATCAATCAAGCACAGCTGTGTCTTCATACCGGTTGTTTCCAGCGCCTCTTATTCGATGTAGAGGTAAAAAACGTGTCCAAAATTATGACGATTGGGAAGAAATTAAAAGAAAACGCTTAACAAATGCAGGGAAAGAATACATCTCCAAAAAGGGCGTTATTGTTCAAGCAAAAACTATAGGTAGGTCTTGCACATGTAGATATAAATGTTACACTATGTTGACTCTCGAAGAAAGACAGGATGCATTTGAAAAGTTTTGAAAGTTAGGTGATCGTGAGAAACAATGGTTGCATGTTGAGAATTATACTACAAAACAGAAGAAAAAAAGGGGCCTTCAAAAAGATTTAAAGCATAACCGTCAATTCACTTACAAGTATTTTTTGCCAAAGGGCTCATCAAAAATATAGATTTGTAAAACCATGTTTTTAAGTACGTATTCGATTAGCGAAAGGTTAGTTCGGACAACTTGGAATAAATATGACGGAAGCACTTACACTTACACACAATAGAAAAAGACATGAGGGGGAAACATAAAGATCATAATCGGGTTGTTGACGATGAAATGGTAAAGTCTGTTTGTGCCCACGTTAATTAATTTGTACCTGTAGAATCTCATTATAATAGAGCAGCGTCCAAAAGACTGTATTTGGATGGTGCCTTGAGCATCGCTAGGATGTTCAATTTATACAAAGAATGGCCCGAACTTGATCATTATTCAAATATAGGTTCTAGTCAGTACAGAGACATAGTTAATAGTGATTTTAATTTAAATTTTCATCTACCCAAAAAGGATATTTGTGATCAGTGCTATAGTTTAAAATTAACACAAAATCCGCCTGATGAATTTAAAGGACAGTATGCAAACCACTTAAATAGCAAAAAAAGTGTCTAGGACCTTGAAACGGAATGATAAAAATGACACTATTAATTCAAATGGACGCATAGTTTGTGTTACCTTTGATTTTCAGAAGGTTTTGTCGTGCCCTCACGGGCAAATGAGTGTATTGTATTACAACCGAAAGCTGTCATGTTATAATTTCACCATATACGAAATGATCGGCAAACAAGGTTATTGCTATATGTGGGATGAAATTGTTGCCAAACGTGGGGCCAACGAAGTAGCCAGTTGCGTTTATGACTTCATAAAGAAGTTTGTATCAAAAGGTATGAAAGAGTTTCGATTCTGGTCAGACAATTGCGCTGGCCTAGAATCGAAATCACATAGTGTTTATTATGTATGATCATGTAGCTAAAGAATATGATATAACTATAACACGTAGATTCTTTGAAAAAGGCCATACCCAAAACGATGGGGATTCTGTCCACAGTTTGATAGAAAGGGCTGCTGAGCATAAAACAATTTATATACCAGATGAATGGAAATGACATGTACGTTGAACTAAATTAACAGGTGATTCTTATGAAGTCATAGACGTAAATCAGTCGTTAGTGTTTGATTTTAAAGATCTGCTAAAAATAAAAACTGGGTAAAAATACAGTTAACAACAAAGTTACTTGGACAAGCATAAAAGAAGTTTGTGTCGATGGAACTCAGAGCGGTAAAATTCGGTATGAATATGCATTATCTGATGACTACACGACCCTTGTACTTCGAAAGGAGACTAGACAATACAATAATCCAATCTTACATAAAGCTTACATGGGGCCAACTTCAATCAGTAATGATAAATATAAGGGTCTTATTAGCCTTTGCGATTCTTCAATAATACGTACCAAATATCGTAACTATTTCCGAAGTTTAGCTCACGGGCGTAATGTTTCTGATAATAAAAATGAATCTGACTGAATAATTGTGCTAAAGAATTGTGCTTAATAATTCTAGTTACTTAATTTTTACTGTTTTGATCTCTGAAGTTGTGATTTTTAAGGATTTATTCATTTAATTAATGTTTAACTACCCTATCTACTTACAAAAATGATCGTGATATTATAACTTTGCTAACAAATGGCTAGTGTTTAAAATTTAGATTAGTAATTTACCAAAAAGGAATTAATCAGATCCAAATAGCTTCAACATATCTATGTAGTACAAAATAATGTTGTTTATAATTACTTAATTCAAATTCAGTTTAAAGACTAGACCAAATAGTCTGTTTTATTTATAAGATACCCTACCTACCCAAAACTACCTACCTACTGTACTATTTACTTATCGAACACCTGCCTACCTTCTTACTCATGGTCAAAATAGAATATAACAGATACCACATCCGCCAAAATATTATTCGTTAAGTTGGTAGAACATGACCGGAAAGTAACATCCGTCATTTTTTGAACAGTAACTTTCCGAAGGAATATGTCGGATAATACTATGTGACTGTCTTGACTCCAAAGTAAAAAGAAGCATGTGATTTTTCTGGAAAATTGTATAATTATAAGTTATTGTTTTTATGCCAGTTTAAAATTAACCCCATTTTAAACTGGTGTGTCAATTTTCATAATTACAGATTGGGAATTAAAAAAGTTATGTCAAAAAATCTAACATAATTTTTTGAAATGGCTGCCCTGTAAAGTTTAATATTTGTTAGATCCGTCACTATTCTACGACTATGACGAGATGTTTGGAAATTTTAACTACAAAATTACTGAATAAAAAATTATGAAAATAAATTATAAGTATTCAACAAAATTATATTGTATTTCTACACACACACACACACACACACACACACACACACACACACACACTTACATTTTAACCATTTCACTGTCCCATGAGTCATATATGAACATTTCGATTATTTAACTATTGTGTCTATTTCGCGGACAGGGAAGTTGTTAAATTTTAATGCCGTTAGACAATAATACTTGACACCTCATTAACGTTTAGAGAAAAGTCCGGTTCTTTCTATTTTGCAAATGAACTAAGGAATAAAGATCCCTCAAGCGCGCAGTTAATCCGAAACGACACCATAAAACACCAATGAGTACAATCATAAGTTCAGTGTTAACAACGTTGCTCTGAGGGTCGTGTATTAAATTATGTAGTGATAGTTATATAGTGACGATTGTTCTGCAAACATTTTTTTAAATGAGTGAGATAAAAAGTATAGTCTCATCTCGTGCCGACGAAAACACCGAATAGGAAGTGCTTTGCATTTACCTACCGCAGAGCGGGAACTACATACGCATCCCGTTATATCTTAAAAATTAAAAGTGGCCAATGTCACTGGAATTAAATATTATAGCCTCTTCCTATATAAGAATAACTTTTGACTAGAACATTACTATACTTGTTAGAACACAATACATGAGATTTATTGCATTCCTCAGATAAAAATTTTCATAGAATAAAATACATCATAAACAAAATACAATCACAGTTGTATAAGTGTAATAAAACTTTGAAAAAAATTAAAAACAGATTTCTAAACTTTAAAAAAGCTTAACTTTTTTTCTAGACTTTAAAAAAAGTAAACAGTAAATGAAAAGGTCCAACCTCAGTATTATCTAAGTATAATATTATAATACTATTTATTAATCGGAGTAATTAACCATGCAATCCCATTACAGTTGTATAAGTGTAATAAAACTTTGAAAAAAATTAAAAACAGATTTCTAAACTTTAAAAAGTTTAACTTTTTTTCTAGACTTTAAAAAAAAGTAAACAGTAAATGAAAAGGTCCAACCTCAGTATTATCTAAGTATAATATTATAATACTATTAATCGGAGTAATCACCCATGCAATCCCATTACAGTTATATAAGTGTAATAAAACTTTGAAAAAAATTAAAAACAGATTTCTAAACTTTAAAAAAGCTTAACTTTTTTTCTAGACTTTAAAAAAAGTAAACAGTAAATGAAAAGGTCCAACCTCAGTATTATCTAAGTATAATATTATAATACTATTAATCGGAGTAATCACCCATGCAATCCCATTACAGTTATATAAGTGTAATAAAACTTTGAAAAAAATTAAAAACAGATTTCTAAACTTTAAAAAAGCTTAACTTTTTTTTCTAGACTTTAAAAAAAAGTAAACAGTAAATGAAAAGGTCCAACCTCAGTATTATCTAAGTATAATATTATAATACTATTAATCAGAGTAATCACCCATGCAATCCCATCTATGCCAACGCAGTGGCAGTTTATTGATGCCATTCTTGAAGAAGTCAGCTGGACTGGGGGCAACAAATTCTTCCAAGGGAATTTTGTACTGCCTCTCGGGTATTGAATTTTTATCCGGCCAAAAAGTTTTCCCAATTCTGGAAAAAGTAGAAGTACATATAAGAAGTCTGCAGGCGTGAGGTCTGGTGAGTATGGCGGATGATGGAGAGTTTCCAACCTTAACTTTTGTAACTTGGAGATCGTCTGTTGTGCACTATGATGTCGCGCGTTGTCGTGCAGAAGCAGCGATCTCCTCCATCATTGTGTTCAATATTCACAGTACACGTCTCCACTTATGCTCATCCCGTTTAATAAGAAACTGTGATGATTCACACCGCCACCAATAGACCACCAAACAGTGACCATCACTTTTCTAGGGGTAAGTTTTCGTTTAGGGCATTGTTTAGGTGCTGAACCAGGATGCAACCTACTTGGTGAAAGCTTGCGATTGTCAAACCGAATCCATTTTTCGTCGCAGGTAGAAATGCGGTTCAAAATTCCTTCGTTCGTGTGCCTGTCGAGCAGTGCAATGCGTAATTCGCGATTGCGATCATTGAATTCGTGGAGTACCCAGATGTCAAGCTTTTTTCGGTTTAAAGAAATTTATTTCTCATAAGAACATACAATGGTAATGAGATACAAAGTAATTATTATACTAAAGTAAAATCGCATCTACCTCTAGTGCTGGAGGTGTTATAGTTTAAGCTTATTTACTATGAGATATAAGATTAAGATTATTTACTATGAGGTATACATATGAGATACCACATATTCGGAAAAGATTACACTGTACGTACGTATTTCCTAAGTTTACTTTTAAACAATTTCATGTCATTGCAATTTTTTATGTCATTTTGAACAGCTGTGCTCCCTCAAACAACAGGGTTTTTTGCCATAATTAGTTCATGCATTTATTAATTGTAGTTTATTTTTACTTCTTAAGTTGTGTGTTGTTATTTTTTTATGTAATTGTATGTTTGATTGCATAGAATTAGTGATAATATTTTTTATTAGAGTGCAAGTGCAATTTTTAGTGCAAAATTTTTACCTCATCAATTTGATGTAAATACATAGACCAATATTGTTCTGATGCTAACGTCGAAAGCTGCTAATTCAGCCGTAGATTGAGTA